CTCAGAGGCCGGCAAGTCAGGCGGGGAACGTTGGAGTCTGCAGTCACTGGAGCAAGCAAGCCTCATGTTCGCTTCCAGCTGCCTGGCTGCCGGCCGCCATCTTGGCTGACAGTTAATTTGCATAAGGATATGCTGATTAGCCAATGGGAAGGGTAGCGGTCGTACGCTAATTACCATGTTTCTCTTTTATTAGTGTAGATAGAGGCCCGGTGCACAAAATCCATGCATGGGGGTGGGGGCCTCAGCCCGGCCTGCGCCCTCTTCAATCCAGGACCCCTTGGGAGATGTCCGACTGCCTCTGGGACCGCTAGCTTCTAACCACTCACCTGCCTGCCTGCCTGATTGTCCCTACCCCCTCTGCCTGCCTGCCTGATCACCCTAACCACCTCTGCCTGCCTGATCACCCCTAACCACCTCATCCTGCCTGATTGCCCCTAACCACCTCTGCCTGCATGCCTGATCACCTCTAACTGCTCCCCTGCTGGCCTGATCACCCCTAAACACCTCTGCCTCTCCCTGCACCTGGGACCCAGGATTCCCTCCTCTGGCCAGCTGCAGGCATGTAGAATCTGGGCTGGCAACAGCTTCAGAGGATGGTGGGCAGGCAGCTTTGCCCAGGCCAAAGCCACAGGTGCTGGTGCCCGGGACCATGGGGTTGTCAGCTTGTCCCTCTCCCAGGCTGCAGGCACAGCCTCTGGTGCCTGGGACCACAGGGCGGATGGTTTTTCCCTCTCCCAGGCTGCAGGCACAGCCACTGGCACCTGGGACCACGGGGCGCACGGCTTGTCTCTCTCCCAGGCCGCAGCCTGGCCAGTCCCCATTCCACTCTCAGGAGCTCATTTGTGCCTGTCTGGTCCCCATTATGGCGTGAGGGTATGACAACCATTTGCATATTAGCTCTTTATTATATAGGATTCATTTTATTTAAAACTTATGCTAATCACCCTAGTTGGTTTGGCAGACTGAAGGATCCCAGGTTCAATTCCTGGTCAGGGCACATGCCTGGGTTATGGGCTCGACCCCCAGTGTGGGGCATGCAGGAGGCAGCCAATCAGTGGTTCTCTTTCATCACTGATGTTTCTATCTCTCTCTTCCTCTCTGAAATCAATAAAAATATATTTAAAAAAAAAACTCATGCTAATCACATAACATAACATTTATTGGCTAGTTACTTTGTGCTTTTCTATGTGCTGAAAAGATACAAAGGTGAACAAACCTCTAGGGCTTTTAAACATATATCTTTCTTTAATGTAGGTGCCAGTAGAATTTTTGTTATATTATTTTCAGAATTCATATCTAACATGATCTAGGCAAGCATTTGTAAGTATTTTCCAAAATTTATCCATGAGCCAAAAAAACTTTAAAATATATTTAATACCTATAAATCATTTATAAATTGTCATGTTCTTCTAACCTAATTCCTTACTAGAACTTGTTGTAAATCTAGATACAAATTTGCTATATTCTATATAATATTAAAAAAGTCTTTGGCAAGGAAAAACCTTTTAGATAGGATTCTATGCTGTGTAGAAATTTTGAGGATGAAAACTCTCTCGGGATACACAATAGTCCAGTAACTTTTGTCCATCAGTTCCTGAGCTGGGATGTACTTTGTTGCCAGTAGGCAACTGAAGGAGGCCGTAGGGCAGTGATGGCGAACCTATGACACACATGTCAGAGGTGACACGCGAACTCATTTTTTGGTTGATTTTTCTTTGTTAAATGGCATTTAAATATATAAAATAAATATCAAAAATATAAGTCTTTGTTTTACTATGGTTGCAAATATCAAAAAATTTCTATATGTGACACGGCACTAGAGTTAAGTTAGGGTTTTTCAAAATGCTGACACGCCGAGCTCAAAAAGTTCGCCATCACTGCTAGGGTATAGTGCTTAAAAAATGGGCACTAAATTTAAATAGAACTAGTTTCTGCTTCCAGTTCTACCAATCTCTTGGGTAAGTAACTTTTGACAAAATAGCTTCACTGACCGTGTTTCTTTGCACTATATTAAGAAGAGATAATCCACGTTGTAGAGTTGTTTCAAGAAATTTAAAAAATACTTGTAGTTATTGATGCAAGAATATGATAAATTATAGCCTTTACTATCATTATGATCAGTGGTATTGTTATTACAAGTAATAGTGATAGCAGTTGTAAAGGTTCCAGTGATAAATGTAAGTAAAATTTTTTAAAAAAATAGTGGAGTCTTATAACCCATTTATATTCTACATGGTTTATGAATATGCAAGGACAGAATCAAGCATTCTGTAAACTTTCTAAACTTTTATCTTTTACATAAAGCTTGGACTGTGTTGAAGCTCTCTGAACCAGGAAGAAAAGACAAAGAACAACTAAGAACAGCAGCTCTGATTCTAAAACTCCACTTCAGCTGCACTATTTGAAGTATGGATCACCTCATAATCCCACAGCCTATCCCTGACCCATACTTCAAGGCCACGTTTTGCATTTTCCTTACCTTTTTTCACCATTCTCTATAAAAGACTTGCTCTCTGTAGTTGTGTATGTGCAGTCAGGGAGTGAGAAGAGACAAGAGAGAAGGCAAAGGAGTTGGGGATGGGCCTTGGGATCATACTTGATTAAGCAGAGAAAGGAGAATCTCAGAGAAGTGATCAACACTGGTGTGAGGTCAATGGAGGAGAGGTCCTGCAGGGGACGTAGTCTTGCTGGCGTCAGGTCACAGAGAATGATTTCACAGAAGTCAGAATTGTTTTTTGTTTTTTTAATAAAACATAACTTAGAGGTCAGAGTATTTTTTATAATGGCATGTCTATGTACTGAGTCACAGTTTAGGGATAAACACCATCAGTGACACACACATAGGTGCAACTCAAGGTTCATCTAAGAAAAA